AATAATTCCTTTTACCTATTAAATTTTCTTTGGTACAATTTAAAAGGCTGTACAAAAAATATTTTTTCTTTACTTTACAAAAAGTAAAGAGATAATTTTTTGTAACAAATTCCATCATTAGTTCACCAATGGTGATTGTTTAAATAAATCAATAACCTCCATCTTAAAAAAAAATCAAAGATTAACATTACATCAAGGCCTCTGGCTCCAGGCTACCTACATAGTTTGCCTAAGAAAACAGAGAGAAAATATGCTATTGCTGAAAATAAATATACAAACTCTCTAACAAACAAGAGCTAAAAATTCCAGTACTCTGGGGAGAACTTACTGAGGCCTTTCAATACTTAAAGGGGGCTTATAAGAAACATGGGGGCAAACTTTTTTTTTTATTTTGGAGTGCTTGGAACATGTACTACCCAGATCCGTATGAATAATAGGACCATGTTAGAGGTTTGCAGTGATTTGAATCATTTCAATGACTCTCCCTCTTGTTTGCAACAAATTTCATCAGCTTCTTGCCTCTGAGGACCCATACATCTGTTTCTTCCCTGTGTAACCGATATTCTCCTGTCAACTTGTCTCTTGTTTGTTCCACTAATAATGTACTTATACTCTCTTTCATTTTCTCATAAGATTTCCTAATGTCTTTATCATACTGGTTTCAATACAAAGACTGTTCTCCTTAAAATTAACCATCAAAAGTCAGCTATCACCTTAAGTACATGACTCACCCACAGAAGTTAGGAGTTTCTGTCCATCATCAGTTTTCATCTATACCTAAAACAATCCCAAAGCCTTGCTCTCTCAGCAGCACTGCTTCATCATTTAATCATATTCCTCCATGGATAAGAGCAAAGGTAGTGAGTCATTGCAGCAATGAAGAATTTTTATTAAATATAAGAATTACTAATTACTGGAACATAGTGCCATAGAGGTAAGGGTATATTCAACCTCTCTAAGGGTTCTGAGGTACAAATAGCTCAGCCAATTTAAAATTATATTTTCCCCATTCTCCATTGGATGTAATCATGGAAGTGTGGCTCCTGTATCATGAGTAGCAAAACCAGATGTGCGTGCAGGCTGTAATTACTGCTGTTCAAAATCCAGTATCACTATATCTCCTTTCATTAACTAATGTGTGGGATTATGAAGTCTGGTACCTAAAATCCCAACAGGTGCCTATTTTTCCTGTTTAATTCTGGAGGGTCTGAGGACACAGGTCAGAGCAGCAGTGCGTCATATCTTTACTGCTCCTAAGAACATCAAACAATGTCAACAGACTATCAAGAGTGGGCTAGGTAGAATCTGCACAGGAAAAGAGGACAGGCTGTGTGTCTTCTGGGAGTCACTTTCAACTTACAGAGTTCTATGAATAATTCCTTTGATTTAAAATTAAGAACTGCACTAAATGGGGCTGGCAAGATCTGAGTCTTATTACTCTATGGAGATTTTACTTGCCACAGTGTAAGACTTGCAAAGAGACTGGCAGAGATAGTCTTAATCATATCTAGAGACAGGCCTCTATGTAATCATTCTATGCCGATAAGAAGTCTAAGAACATTCTAAAGGAAATCAATCTCTTAGATACTTCCATGCTATTGAAGGTTTCATGTGTAGTGCAACATTGTTTTTCCTGTTTCAGGTATCATTTATCATTATACATTTACTGATTCAGTATCCACCATCTCATCTCAATTTTCTTCTATGCAGTCATCATCTGGGATAATTAGATTTTATTTTACATTCCCAGAAACCCTTCTGAAGCTGTCTCATTTTGAAAGACAAATAAGTATATTTTTAGTATACATGTGTTCAGCATTACTCTTTTTTAATCATAGATTCCTTAAGCTAATGAAAAGTAGTAAAGAGAATACAAACAGCCCAGAGAGAAAACAGAACCCTTCTGAAATCACCAATTGGGAGTTATCCAGACTGAATCGAACTTTGCATAATGTTGAGGCTGGATTTTGGAAAAGCAGCATGAAAATAATTTTCCATGTTTTCTCAGACACATTTTATCAATTCATGGTATTTGGTTGGGGTTTGTTTGTTTGTTTGTTTGTTTAATTTACTATATTCAAATGTAAGACCTGGAACCTTATTTTTTTTCTCCTATCTTCCAAATGTAAAAGTTACTGCCATAGCATAAATGAAAGATGTTCCACTTCTTCAGCTTTTCCTTTAATTTCAATATCCTTTCTCTATTTTAGATCTCATTGATCTACTACCCAGACCAGCTTGAAAACTTGTCTCTACTGGTTATTATTTCTTAGTGAACCTGTATTATTTGAAACTGATGTAGAGTGTAACCAGCCTATAATTACTTATTTTTTGCAAAAAGTGTTGAAGAAGCAAGATTTAATGTGGGTTACAAGCAGAAAAACCTAACAGCTTCCAGAATAAGAGAGTATCTAGTTTGTTTGGCAAAAATATTTCAGGTGAACAGCAACTAAAGCTTCGAAAAGGTATTGCTGTTCTGTGTTTGAGGTATTGAAAGCAAACATGACAAATGCCCGACAAGTGTGAAGGAAACGCACTGTGAGCAGGAGGTTGGAAACTGTGGTTTTCAACTTCAGAGGAATCATTTAAATTCTCAATGGCAGCTCCCCAGATAAAGAGAAAACAGCATTCTCTGAAGAGTGGCCAGCTGTTTGGGACTCAATAATGAGGCTTTTATTCAGCCTGCATTCTGGAGTTGCTTCTGTTACAAGATAGTGATGCTGGCAAGAAAAATAAAGAGTTTTTATGTCTTAGGATGCATTCTTGTAATAATTTCTAAAAAAGCCCAACATAATTTTGGTTTGCAAAATATCTGTTGGACATATATTTGTCTGGACTAGGCACTAGTGCATTTGTCAAGCATGAAAAACAATCTAGATTTGCACGTGTCTTACACTTCATTATTTCAAGAACTGTCACTATGATTAGAGCTCATTCTGATCTTTAATTGGACTATGGAGCAGAACAGGAATCAAAACTGAAGTCACTAGTGTCAAGTCAAATTCCTTCTGATTTTTATGGAAAAGTGACTTTAATGTGGACAGCAGAATTTATCCCTGTTACTTAACATTATTCTTTTTGAGTCCTGGACACCATTTCTGATTTAATTTCTAAAATTTTGAAGTTTATCTCTTTTGTTTTTCTTGTTCAGCAAGAAGAATTTTCATGGATCAGTTTTCACAATTTTTTACGTGTTCAGAAAATATATTTTATATTGCCAAAATATCTCCCTTTCTTCTAATGAAAGTGAGGTTACTTTCTTTTCCTTTCCTAAATACTTCCCTGTTCATATAGACATCCTGGAGACCTAGACTGATTCTGGATGATTTTCTAGGGCTATTCTGCTGTCCATCAGCATATTAAACCTAATCTATTTAAGAAATCTCCAAGTGCCTGTGTTATCAGCCAAAGCAGAGAAGCAGATCTTATGTCCAAATCCTTTAAATTCTCCTTCTGTGAGGCAAAGCTTATTACAGATGACAAAGGATATATCAAAATTTGAATAAAGTTGAAATCTTGGGCTAGGGCTTGGTCTTTGGCCTTCAGAGTTACTGACACTATTCATGTCTGTATGGCTGGACTTTCTTCCCCAACAAACATGGATTTGCTCACAGTGTGTACTGGAAAAAGTTCCTGCTCCATGAGATCCCACAGTTGTGTCCAGGAATTGCCTGGGAAAATGGTACTTGGATGATGATAAAACTATGCCAAGAAAAGGGAAATAAATAGACATAGGCAACTGTACATAATTTTTAAGACTGGTCCTTGCTGATAGCACCAAAACAGGTGCTTCGCCTTCCTGAACCTGGGGAAATGGCATACCACGGGCAGTGCCAGGCATGGTATTTCTGTAGACAATGGAGGACAGAGTTGTTCTTTGTGTGCCATGAGATAGTCCTTGTTTTATGCAGGACCGGAAAACTCATATAAATTACTTCTAAATGTAGCTTTTGTGCTTCTACACTATGCAACAGTGCCCTCAGACAAACCCCAGAAGACAGGGGTACTATTTTGTGTCCCACCTGGGCAAAGCCCTGTCAGTAGAAAGTGCAAATTCCTCTCACTTCCATTTCTCTGGAGGCCCAGGGGAAAGGGAGGCAACCAGCATTTCTGAGAATCAAGTTGCTTGAGTTTAAAAATCTGAATACCAACCTAGCTTCACATGCAATAACTTGAGTGTTTGGGTTTACAATATATTTGTTTCTCTCCTAAGTCTTAAATTAACTAGATTTGCAGTAGTAAATAATTTAGGGTATTTTTCTGGATTTCATTTCTATCTACAGTCTGTTCAGACAAACCAAAGATTATTTTTTTTTTAAAGAAATCAAACTGCTTAAATCATCCATATCTCTTATGTCTGCAAGGTTTTTTTTCTTTTTTTAATAAGCAGATTTAAGTTCCCTGCTATTTGTGAGAAAAATATTATTGGAAAAAGTTGTGATTTCATGTCTCTTTTGAATTATAATAAATAGCATGATGCCGCTGTTGATGAATCAAGGTTGTCCAGGATGTGACACTTAGGACGTGACACGTGTCCTCACAATAAGACCCAGCATTCTGTTTTTCCTCTTCATTTACACTGAATTTTTAATTTAGAAATACCAGGTGTTTTAACAGCATTTTAGTCTTTTTTTTCCCATGTCCTTTGTTTCAGTTTTATGCTTCTGAGGTAGAAATCCTTCAAGTTGTAATGAAGAATCCATATCCTTTTCCCATTGTCAGTTTTGAGTTCTGATAGTCTCAGTTATGCTAAAAGTTAAACAATTTTTAGTAGTTCTACCAACCAGCATGATTAATAGATCATCCTTTGTTCTCAGATACATTAGTTTTACTCTAACCTTCCATCACTGATAAATCAGATTTCTATTTTATTTTCACCCTCTCTATTCACTTTCACTGAAAATCAGTATCATATTATTGTCCTTTCTCATATTTAACAAGTGAACAATGAACAATGTTTATCACTCAGTAGAGTCAAAATAATTTCAATAGATTCTTACCTGTAATTCTGCTTTTCATTTCCTATGTGAAATCTGTCATATTGTGAATATGCCCGGTTTCCTTCCCAGTCCATTAATTCAATTCTTAGAGAATATTGCCTCTGACTTGTTATTGCAAAGATAAATTCATTTCCCAGCCAATGTTCACCTGATGGGCTACCAAAACCCTAGAAAAAAGTTGGCAAAATAACTAGATGTAATTATTCTAGTTGGTAGAATCTTTACACAATAATAAAACCATCATTATCTTTTACCTATACATTCTAATTATTAGTCATAGCTTTCTGTGCTCCTGTTTGACTATCTCTAAAATGAGTCTACTGATACATACCATGTAGGAATGTTGTGCAGTTCAAGTGATATTTGAAAGGGCAGTTGAGTTTATAAAAGAATCACTTTCCAGTTACAAACTATTAATAGTATGATGCTGTATTTACACATCCTTCAGTGAGAATACTGGACAGAGTCATGTTATATAATACATTTCATATGATGTTAATCCTAGTTATCATTAAGACAAGTCAAAACAGAATTCTGCTATATGCTATAAAAGGTTAAAAAAAGGTTAAATTTGCCTAGATTGCACACAGAATTAAACTTAGCTGGGGATGATACCTTATGTTTTGATCTCTAAAGAAGGACAGACAATTCCTTAGCCATCAAGTGTCTGCCATAACTGAAGGAAAGAGGTTTTTAGCTTAAAATCCTCTTCTGCATGTAAGACCTGTTGGACAGGACAGTGTCTGAGTGATACTCAGTTGTAACATTTATTTACTTCATCCTTGGGCCACTAAAGCTCATATTTGCAAAGATCTTGGCTACTACAAATTTAATTTTTTCTCACCCTGATGAGGTGAAATAAGATATATATACATGTTTTGATGCTTTGAAATCTTTAACTTAAGGAGTTAGGACTATTTCTATAGACTATCCAAAGCACAAGAGGTGGTGTTGTAACTTTATTTTCCAAGAATGAAAAATAAATAGCAGTAGAAGATTTAAGGTATGTAACTCTCCTCACATTGCATATGTTCAGATGATCATATTTCCAGTTAAGCAAACTATATAATTTTTAAGGATAGAAAAATAATAATAATAATAAAATTATAGCCAGTTCTCAAAATGTGTTCCTAGACCTATATTTTATCTTCCAGGTCTTAGTTATTTAAATTTTAGTGATATTTTACTACTTTAAATATAAGATTTTATTTAATGTAATTAATTTAATTTACTATGTATTAAATTTTTTTTCTTTATAAACTATTAATTCATACCTGAGAACTCTTAGCTCCATTTTTGTTTCCTTTAAGAAATAAAAATTATTTTAAACCATAGTCTTTTTTTGTGAAGAACTAATTCAACATGACTATGATTATTCATATTTCTTAAGCTAGGAAAAATGGAAACTGGAAATCTTCTGATTTGGTTACAGTGATGTGCTAGAAGTGTTTTAGAAGACTCTTGTGAAAATTTCCTGATCAAATTAAATGAAAAATTGGCAGTGTTCAGTTAACTGTCGATGATCTTAAGAGGTCTTTTGCAACCAAATTGCTTCTATGATTTTCTTGCCTGTGAATAAAAATTCACCCTCTGTTACTAAGCTGTGATTTCTAGATATAGGAATGAAATGAACTATAAAACAATCCTAGTTTTGGAATAGATTAGGCTGTATCCAATCTCAAATATTTTCCTTTGTCATTCATTATAGGAAGTTCCTTTCTCTCTGCACTTCCCGTCATGGTATTTAACAGACAACATTTACTCTCAGTTTAAGATCATAAAATAAAATATGTGATCTTCCCTTGAATGTCAGTGTAATCTTCAGGAATAAGTTTCAACATTTCCAGAAAGCACATCTTTTTTAAAGGAAGGTAAAATTAAGAAACTTCCTTGGGACTAGAAGTTAGGTAATGGGAAATGTGTCTGTGAGACACATCGGTAAGAAATCTGTTTTCTCTATATGACGTTTCAGTCACTCCTGATGTGAGATGGAAACACTGAAAGTACAGTCCTCTCTCTTGTTCTTTGTTGCATTGCCTTGGCTCCAACCCTGGCCTGTTGGGTCTATTGAGGATGAAATTCTGCTTCCCCAGAGGCCATGCTACAGCTGAGTGTAAGCTGCAACGCAGCTAGTACTTCACTTAGGCAATGCATAGGTATAGCAGCTGCAAACTTCTGAAGAAATTTAATTTTTAAAAAATTAGAAGCTTAAAAGTTTATAATGGGATCAAAAAATTATAAAATGGAGGGACTTTTTTGCTTTTCCTACAGGGAATTACATTAGAAAACACACTACTCGGGGGTAATTTTTGTTTTAACTAGCCTGCCTGAGCAAATATCTGGTGCTCACTGATACTAAAGGCTGAGAAGACATGTCACGTTTGGCTATGCTGAGCTGAACACACCAGTTTATGTTGTGAATAAGCATGTCTGCCTTTTGGCTTGGGGACCATCAGGCGCTTCCCATGGACTAAGCATTTCATTTCCTCTGCAGGAACTGAAATTCAGTAGTCTGTGATGAGTCTCAGAAAAGACTCAAACTGAAACATGGAAGAATACTATTAGTTGGAGTCTCCTGCACATTATTTCATTGTATTATCTTTCTTAAGTAGATTATTTCCTTCGTAAGTCCCTGTAAATACTGGCGGTACCTAATACTGGTGATATCTTGCTTTGACCACATCAGTCTTCCAGTGTGAGCTCCTGCTCCTCAAGCTTTCCCATGATGATGCTTCTGTCGCTCCCACCTACTGCTTTGATCACGTTCACGTGCATATTTGGCTTCATACCTACTCCCTAAAATACAAAAGCTTGTTCCTCACCTGCATAAACCCTGTCTACAGCTGACATACCCTTCTGTAGTTTTCACTGTTTTCTATCTGTTCCTTTGATCTTTTCCATCTTCTTGATTTGTCTCACTGTCCTATCACTGTCGCACATGGTCTCCCCTGTTCTAGCAGCTTTGGCAGTGTCATACCAGAGCAGTCAGTGGTTTGTCTCTGACATCCTCTTTCACCAGTGGTCATTGCCACTTGTCTCAGAGGAAGGGAAAATATACTCTGAAGTGACTACATAACAGTAGGTAGGTATTCAGAGTATTCAGAAAGCAGAAGTTGGAGCATAGGTGTTTATATACCAACCAAAGTACATTTCTTTGCAGTCTACTTGATTTTGTCTTCACAGAAGATATATTATTATAATTATTATCAGCTGTCTCCCTTTAAAAAAAGATTTTCAGGAAACCCTTTCTCCCTTTTTCCCACTGCTGGTAAGATGAGGGGAGTCCCCTTTGAACTGCTCTGTTGAATTATATTTGTCTTATCTTATTTAGATTACAGCCTATTCAAAATGTAATACATGTGGGGTTTTTAACATTATGTGTTCCCATATGTGTTCTACATAAACTCCAGACAGTATATATAATTATTCTGAAATAATAACAATTTTTCTTCTTCACATTTACACTTCCTTCTCCCTTTTTACATGTGTTATTACACTAAGATGAAGATCTATCACTGAGTGGTTTTCTCTCCTGACCAGAGGAAATGAAGTTGCAGCAAAAGGGAACAGAAGGAATATAAAAAGGAACATAAAAAATTATAAGGAAAGCCACCACAATAGTAAGGAAAAACTGAATCCTATTTTAAGGAGCTACAATACTGAAACTTAGATTAGAAATGCCTAGACTAAGAATGATTCTTTTTTTTTTTTTCTTGTCAGGAGCAACTTCTTTTTAGACAAATTTCTTGCTCTTATGAAAAGGAAATCAAGGAAGTAAGCGGAATATAAAAACATATCTCTGAAGCAGGAAATGTTCCTAAGGAGAAGTAGTGTATTTTATTAAACACACAATATGGCTGGAAAAAGAAATAAATAAACAAACAGGCACTCAAAGCTTCCACAGACCTAAAACAGAGAGGAGCAGTACATTTCTATTAAGCACAGAGTTGGGAACCATTTTTTCGAGTATAATTTTATTATGCCAAACTCAGCTGTTGCCAACCTGTATTTTGTCTGCAGTTTACTGCTTCTATTTCAGACCTGAAGAAAAACTTGTATGCTTGCTTCTTTTTCCAGATACTTTGACTGACTTAATAACTATACAGCTTTCCATGTTTATATCTTACTTAGACTGTTGCTGCTACAAGAACACTACTGCTTTGACAAGATACGTAAGTTCTTCTGTGCAGAAGAAAATGACATACTATTAGGTAAAAAAAACTGAAGAAAATGATTTAACTTTTCATTTCCATTCCCAACACTGAGGCTGGCAAAGAAAATTATTGTACCAAGGTCTTTTGATTTGGCTTCAAGATTTTTAGCCTTCAAAGTACATTTCAGAAGTTTATTTTCAAATACAAAATCTTTTTTTTTCTTCAGCCAGAAAACTTAAGGAAATAAGCTTGTGCAATTGCTATGACCACCTGTCCTTTATTTTTGTGCAATATTTTTTGAACACTTTTGAAGTTGGGATAGAAATCACACAAACTTGAAGTTCAACAAAGTTTCAGGAGAAATGAGGCCTGGGATGAGTTGTCGCTGGGAAAAATGCTGAAGCAGAAGCTAAGCATTTGCCTATTCCAATTGCCTATCAGCAGGCGCAGACCAGTCAGCCATGCTCAGGTGCTGAGCATATATTGCCTCAGAGGACCCTTAGACATCTGGGAGAGATTCGAGGGACATAAAAGGAGAACTCAATCTTTTGCCATAGAGAACCTTAGAAAATAATAGGGATTCAGAAGATTATTATTAGAATGGGACTTCTACGTGGGACACATGACAAAAATCCACAGAAAAGCAGACCTCATTAATTTAGCTGTTCATAAGACAGCTCAGTAATTGTTCAGTAATGAAATCCAAGCATTTTAGTTAACAGAATATTTATGTTTATACTGCTGCTCAAATCTGTGGAGTCCCAAGTGATAAGATGCCTTCAGCCTTGCCTTAGATCATGTTTGCCATCTTCTATGAACAAGGAGTTTGGTTTTGAGAATACCTTAGGGCATAGCGCTGAATCTTAAAAGTTAATATTAGGAGTCACCTATTCCAGATCTATAGTTGTCATTAAGTATGTTTGTTTCCCAGTAGATATGTACTCTGTTAACATACTCATTGTTTTTTTGCATTCATAGTGTTAGAGCAAATACTTCCAGAATTATTTGTGTTA